GCAAGCGAATAGGCAGACTACAGAAGGGGGCATGAAACCATATTGTCGCAGAACTACTCACCAGGCGAGAGAGCGCTGATAACCAGATTCGACACCAGAGGAACCTCCACGCAAATCAGCCAAGCAGAACAAACACCAATCAACGACTCCATTAAAAGAAAGTAACCAAACTGACCTGAACACGATAAACAGCTTGTTCAAAAGAAGATACCGGTCAATGCCAACGAAATATTGTCGAAAATGGTTCCAGCCGTCCTCCTCAATCATCCAGGGAGACAATACACAACTCAGCAACCACAATGAGATACTCACCCTAAGTCCAGCCGACTCGACACAATGGCTTTTATCAAGAAAGTCCCACAACGACACACGATGCCTAGTCATGGGAGTTGCGAGAGGAAGAAACCACTTACTACACCTGTTGGTGGCCAGGACGGTAAAGCTACAGTACCCACACCTCTATGGCACAAACGTAGTGATGGAGTACTTCCAAAGAACTAAAAAGTAACACCCTACCATCTTATCCCAGGGCAATCGCCCAGCTCATTGGGTATTGTGGTACCCGCGGAACAAGGAAAACAAAGATCCATTTTTATCAAAAAAGCATACCTTGTACTACCAACCGTTTAGTGTGCAGGCACATCCACAAATCACCAAGATGTGGCGAATCACACCCACAAGAGCCCCATCAACGTACATGAGTGACGTTAATAGACATATGGTATCCCGTGCTGATACCATCCGGCACACTACGTTACCCATTAAAAAAATGGTGGAACCTCGAATCACCGGTTTCCTAACCACACAAAGGGAGTTAACTGGTTACCCTTAATGTGGCAGTGACTCCCCTCCACCCCTGCACCCTGCTACCCTTGTGCTGTCTTTTACCCTGCATCTTCCTCCCTGCCCCTTCTAGGCCTGACCCTGTCCACTTCCAAATCATACTTCCAAACTCCAAACTCTCCTTTCCCTCATCATTTCCTCCCTCCCAATTCCACTATTTTCACCAAAGCAGAAGTCTAAAGAAATCATAGATATGACCCTCTCTCTTCTGAAAAGAATTTATTATGGAAATCTTCAAACATAGACAAAGATACAGGGATTAACATAATAAATCTCCAGGGGCCCTTCACCCAATTTCTACTATCAACTCAATCTTCATCTTGTTTCACTTATACCCCTACCCACTTCTCCCCAACATATTATTTTTATGCATATCCCAGATAGCATAATGTTTTATCCACAAATACTTCTATATGTATCTCTAAAAGAAGTTTACAAAAACATAATTACAATGCCATTATCAAATTTAAAATAACAATAAATTCCTAATGTCACTAAATATTTAGTCAGCTTTAAAATATCCAGTTGTATCAGAAATATCATAAATCTTATTTTTTTTATGCTTCAGTTGTTTGAATCAGGATCCAAGTGGAATCCAGATATTGCAATCTGTTGATATATCTCAAAAGTTCCTTTTAATATGTAGGTTTCTACCTCCCTATGTTTTTTCCTTTGCAACTTATTTGATGAAGAAACTGTGGCCTTTTTAAAAAAATTGCTCTCAATCCTCTTTCAGTCTTTTTCAGAACATTTGAGAAAACCACAAAGCTTCTCTCTACTTTAAATGATGAAAAGACTTGCAGAACAAAGAAAAGCTTTTACACATTTCCAATTCCAATTAACTTTGCCTCTGCTCTGTAAATAGGATGAGACTTATCCACCACTGGATCTCCAGGGTATAGCATGTGATGCTGGATTTGCATTTATGGAAAAAAGATGGGAGGGCCGGGAGAGAGGTTATTAGGAAAAATGGATTTGCATTTGCGGAAAGAAGATAGGAGGGAAGGGAGAGAGGTTATTAGGGAAAAAGTCAAAGGAGAAAACAGAAAATTTGGTAGATACTACATTTCTATAAGAAAGTAAAACTGAAGTTCTTTATTCAGGACAAACTCTCCTTAAAAAGTGTTATAGGGCCGGGCGCGGTGGCTCACGCCTGTAATCCTAGCTCTCTGGGAGGCCGAGGCGGGCGGATTGCTCAAGGTCAGGAGTTCAAAACCAGCCTGAGCAAGAGCGAGACCCCGTCTCTACTATAAATAGAAAGAAACTAATTGGCCAACTGATATATATAAAAAAAAAAAAAATTAGCCGGGCATGGTGGCGCATGCCTGTAGTCCCAGCTACTCGGGAGGCTGGGACAGAAGGATCGCTCTAGCCCAGGAGTTTGAGGTTGCTGTGAGCTAGGCTGACGCCACGGCACTCACTCTAGCCTGGGCAACAAAGCGAGACTCTGTCTCAAAAAAAAAAAAAAAAAAAAGTGTTATAGAGTCTGAATTTCTAAAGACCCCTCATGATCTGGGGCCAACCTGTCTTGCCAGGCTTATCACCCCCTTAAAACTTTGGTAGCATATTTCATTGAAAAAGCAGATAAAGCAAAATAAAACAAAATTTTGTTTTAATTATGAAAGTAATTTGTATCTCTGGGAAAAATTTCAAGTTTCAAAATAAAGTGAAAAATAAACATTTTCTTTCCTATAAGTAACGATATATATCTCCCTGCCTCAAGTGTGGTTCCAGCCACTGTCTTGAAGAGGTGAAATACCAGAGAGTTTGTTTGTTTCTGTTCATTCTCTATCTATTGGTGACAGAAGTACAGTCATTCTTACGCATGCTGTGCAAAATTGTCTCTATCTATGTATGTGTATATGTGTGTATATATATATTATATATATACCACATAAATATTACATTATATATAATACTTTCTCACTAAATGCAACAATGTTATATATGTTGTTATGAACCTTGCCTTTATTATTATTGATTTACTAATATATCCTTGATATCAGCTTCATTCCTTTTACCTCCTATATATAATTGACTATTGGAAAGATGTTTCATGATTTATGTAACCAGTTTTCTATTGACATTTAGATATATTTCAGTTTTTTCTGTTACAAGCAAGGCTGGAATGGGCCTTGTAGACTATCATAGGGGGCTTTTATTCTAACTGAGGTGGGAAGCCACTGGAAAGTTTGGCCTACAGGAGGGACATTATCTGATTTACAGTTTAACAAGGTCACTAGGGCTGCTGTACCCAGTTTACACTCCCTCATCAGTATTGGGACTGGGTATTATTTAAATTTCCTTACCAATTTATAGGCAGAAAGAAAGAAAGAAAGAAAGAAAGAAAGAAAGAAAGAAAGAAAGAAAGAAAGAAAGAAAGAAAGAAAGAAAGAAAACGAAAAAGGTATCTTGTTATGCCTCAATCATCATTCCTTTGTAAAATCAGATTTGACATGTGAGTTTTACTTGGTGGGCTGTTTCTCACATACTTAGAGGGGGACTGTGAATCATACTGGTACTGTGTGGACTCCTGCTCAGCCACACTAAAGCCTTCTGATGGCCAGGTGTGGTGGCTCACTACTGGGAGGCCGAGGTAGGAGGATTCTTTGGGGCCAGGAGTTTGAGACCAGCCTAGGCAACATAGCAAGACTGTCTCTACCAAAAAAAAAAAAAAAAATAGCCAGGCATGGTGGTATGCACCTGTAGTCCCAGCTACTCAGGAGGTTGAGGCAGGGGGATTCCTTGAGCCCAGGAGTTTGAGGATGACACCACTGCATTCTAGCCTGGGCGACAGAGTGAGACTCTGTCTCAAAAATAAATAAATAAGTAAAAGTCCTCTGATATCACCTGTCTGACCTCTTTTCTAGATCCCAGGTCCCTCCAGATAGGTACCCGATGGTGAGGATGAAAACCTGTCTCTGAGCTGGACTCAACCTGAAGTGCCACCACCTGCATCTCCCTGCCTCAGGTATGGTTCCAGCCATGAGACTTGAGTGGACATTTTCCACTCCTTCCATGTGTGGCCCAGGTGCCCCATCTCTGAGCATCTCCCTTACTGGAATATACTTTTTCAGTCTGTCAACAAATATATTTATTTATTGAATACATTTATGGAGTGCCAGGCACTGTTCTGGGCTCTGAGGATTCAGTGGTAAATAAGACAGGCAAGGTCTCTATCTTCTTGGAGCTCCCTTGCTCATAAGAAACGCAAACATTAGTCAGGTGATTGCACTGATCAATGCACAGCAGAGTGTTGTGACAGTGGAATGCATGGGGGACCTGCTGTCCCTTCTGACACAACCTGTGATTTCCAAAAGCAGGACAATAACAACAACAGTACCAGGCACTGTTACTATGTTTTACGTATTAATTTACTTAATCCTCACAACAACCCTATTGAGCATGTAATGTCATTTTACATGATAAGAGGTTTACAGTCACTGAGAAGTTAAATAACTTGTCCAAACTCACGTGGCTCGTACAGATGATGCTTCCATTCTTGGCCAAGCAGCCAACTTTTCTACAGCCTGTGCCACAGTCCCATGAGAATGAGACAGAAGGAAGTGTATTCGCTCCCAGCAAGTAGGATTTAGGTTAGACACTAGGAAGAACTCCTTGGCAACATTTATGAATGTACAAGAGAAAATCACTTTTCTAGGAATTTACTTCTCCCCTTAATTTTTATACTACCTAAATCTAATAACATTATAAAAATAGAGTGATTATTTCAGAAAAAGAATCACTTATAATTCCACTTTGTGAATTGTGTTCCTTTTTTCATCTTTCTGGGCCAGATTGAGACTGTGTTAAACAGCTGGTGTGAGAAGAAAAGGAACGAGATCTGCCTCTGCTCACGGCAGCATAAAGGCAAAGACGTGTAACTAGCAAAAGCTCAGCCCCTGTCCCCAGGCTTCCAACATCCAGAATGACCGCAGGACACCCAGGGATTGAAGCTAGCTCTTCCACAGGGGATAGGCACTGCTGTGGGCTTCAGCAACAGAGCCAGTTCCCATCCTGTATTCCAGGCCCCTCAGGGTGAAGGGGGCAGAGGTGAGGCAGTGAGGGATTCCCTGCTATTTCAGATGAAAGTAACCCAAAGCAGCATGCCATACATGTACCCTGGAGGAAACAGGGAAGGGAGAAGCGTACAATGAGTAAATATCAAGCAGAGTCAGCAGAATGATTGAAATGGCTTCTAGGTCATCATTGGGTAGGATCATGAGGCCCCAGCTACCTTACCCCACTCCCACTTTGATCAACTCCCAGTCAGGGGCTAGAGGTGCAGGAGGCTCAAAGTACCAGCTCCTTAGGCACCTTGGGACGTTCCAGCCTGCTCTGGGGAGATCCATTAGTGCCTTCTGCCCCAAGGATTTCCATTAGGCCCTAATAAAATGTATTAGATATAGGAAATGCTTTGAAGTTTGCATAGTATTTTCTCCAGAATCCCTCGTTTTTTGTTTTGATTCTCACATTCACTTTATGGATAGGTAGAACAGGTATTATTATCCTCACATTTACATTTAGATTACATTTGGAATCACACAGTAGCAAGTACAGCCTGGGGTTAACTGAGGTCTTATGATCTCTTAAGCCCCAGGCACTTTCTCTTGGTTTCCTCAGAGCACCTTCTGAATCCTTCCCAAACTTTCCACCACTTGAGCATGGAAACCCCTAGACCTCTTCTCATTCCCATAGTTTAGAAAGTTTGAGAATCACCCCCAGGTCCCTCATTGACTCTGAGGCCGGTTTGTGTCCCTGGTGGAAAGCCCACCCCCTCAGGCTTGGTCAGAGGCGCTGGGACCAAGAACTTGTACAATGCCCTGATAAGCTTCTTAGAGGAGGCGGGTATTAGCCAGGATCGGATATTCTTCACCTGAGATGCCCTTCACACATGCCCTGCCTTGAATTAGGATTCCATACGGGCACTGGGGCAGGAGAATGGGGTGTTCCCTGCTGTCCAGCTTCAGACTCACTCTTTGAGACCCTGGATTCGGACACGTTCCCAGAACTGAGGAGACCCCCAGATGTCGAGGTTTGAAGGTAAATGATGTGATTAGGAGGTGGGATCTGCTGGGGTGCCGGCTCAGCCCTGTTAGATAACACTGGCACGCCAGAAAGAGAGAGAGTGTCCAAAATTTTTGTAGGAGATACAAGTGGGCTTGCTACAAAATGCTGAGTTCATGACAAGGGACGGCATGGATGCAGGGAGAGAGTGGATAGAAAATTATAGAAATCAGGCCAAAGAAGGGAGTGTATTTATTCCTACTTCTCCTTTTGCTTGTTCCTCTTCTGCTTTTCAAGACAATTGCATTTGCATCTCTAATTAGTGTGGTGTGCTAGAAAGAGTGGGGAATTAGGCGGTTCATCTACTCAGCACTCCCCAGCTGTGTGATGTTAAGCAAGTCACATCTCCTCTCTAGACCTCAGTGTCTTCATGCCTCACGTGAGGAGTTGGTTATACCAGACAGAGTCTGCAGGTTACTCAGATCACCTCTAATATATCGCTATTATATAGAAAACCAATCATGTCTAATTATTGTTTTGAAATAATCTGTGGACATTGATTAGAGATTTAAGAAATATTTGCTTGGGCTGGGCCTCAATGCCCTTCTTTATAAAATATTCTTTGAGGGCTTTTCGTGTTCTTCCCCCTGTATCCTGTGTAAAGCTAACCCTTAATGTAGCACTTGGTTCTCTTCAATGCTTTTCACAGACCTTGTGTGCTTTTGCTCTCTCAACATTCCTGTGACATAGTTATTATTACTATTTACATAGGTATTATTATTACAACAAAATTTAGTTTAATTTAAATTTAAAGTATTATAACTTGGCCGGGCGCGGTGGCTCACGCCTGTAATCCTAGCACTCTGGGAGGCCAAGGCGGGCGGGTAGATTGCTCGAGGTCAGGAGTTCAAACCAGCCTGAGCAAGAGCGAGACCCTGTCTCTACTAAAAATAGAAAGAAATTAATTGGCCAACTAATATATATAGAAAAAATTAGCTGGGCATGGTGGCACATGCCTGTAGTTCCAGCTACTTGGGAGGCTGAGGCAGAAGGATTGCTTGAGCCCAGGAGTTTGAGGTTGCAGTGAGCTAGGCTGACACCACAGCACTCACTCTAGCCTGGGCAACAAAGTGAGACTCTGTCTCCAAAAATAAAATAAAATAAAATAAAATAAAATAAAATAAAATAAAGTATTATAATTTGCACATGATAAAAATGTCAAACTAACAGACTACACAGTGAAAAGTAAGTCTCCCTTTGACCTCTGATCCTCAGTTTCCCTTTCCCAGCGATCATCTTTACATAATCAATATCTACGTTATTATGCCCATTTCACAGATGAGGCACCAAACCGTAGCCTGTCAAGGATGACACAGCTGGTAAGCAGCAGAGCAGGGAATCCAGGCCTTTGTCTCCGTTCCTCATGTTCCTCCCACCACACCACACTGTCTGGCAAGCTCCATGACATTAACTTTTAAGCTTTGTCCTCCCTGGATTGATATGGTGGAATCATTTTAAGTTAGTTAAGAAATACACATGAGGTCTTAATGTCCCTGGGAATGCCTTCTACTACTGCCCATTTTAGTCAACGGCTTAAAATCATGTCTCCTCTACCTCCTTCCTGCCTTTGATAAGGTGAGATCTGTGGTTTGGGTACCAACTATGGATGACTGAGCTCCCAGCATCTTGGGTTTGGACCTGTGGAGTTCTGCGGACTGGGTAGACTCCACAGAGCACCCAGGATCCAGTTCAGGAACCTGGGCTGCTGGCATGCGGACACTAGCACAGAGGTTTTCTAGGTACTCTTTCTCTAGCTTTCTCCCAAGGGCAGGCATTGGTTTGCTCCAATGGAGCAGGGGGCAGGGGTGGTTTGCTCCAGCAGAATCAACTGTGCACCCCACTCCCCACCACAAAGGCCCCTGTATGATACTTTTGTGTCCCTGGAACTTCTATCATCACTTTTGTCAAGATAAGGGCATTATGGATCCCAGATCTCCTCTTAATGGCAAGTAATCTCTCTTTTTGTTCCACCTAGGTTTGTGGATACCCCCCGGCTGGGCTTCATGGAGAAATCTTCCCTGATCACCAACCTGAATCCCAGAGCAGCCTCCGTTTTTCCCTGGACGGAATGAGAGGCCTTCTGTAACCAGACACAACTGGCCGTCATGGGGAAACTGCTCAGGATGGGGTCACAGGAGAGGCGGTTACTCCGGCCAAAGCGGCTTCATTGGAGTCGCCTCCTCTTCCTGCTGGCAATGTTGATCATCGGTTCCACCTATCAGCACCTGAGGAAACCCCGGGGCCTCCCCTCGCTGTGGGCAGAAGTCTCTTCACGACAGCTTGTAAAACTGGCCAGTCGGGACCTCCCCGATGATGAAGTGATGATGGTGAGCGGCGACCCTCCAAAAGCTAGCTCTGAAATGGAGAGTGAGATGCTGATACCCCAAGGCACGGCGGGCAGGGATGCAGCAACACCTGGCATAACAATGGAGAACACCCCCAATATTCCCAGAGGAACAGCCAAGATTATTCCAACAACAACCAAAAATATTTACAGCCCAACAGCAGCAGGTACAGAAAGAGTGAAGGAAAATGCCCCAACCACATCTAGTAGAGTACTGAATCACTACACCCCAACTTCAAGCAGACAAACAGTGAAATATTATACCCCAATACCCAGGGGAGAAAGGCAGAGCCATGGCCCAACCAAGGCCAGGGGAAAGGTAAAGAGGTACACTCCATCCCCACCCAGTAGAACAGTAGACACTTATGCTCCATCTACATTCATGGCAAAGGAAACAAGCCATGCGACCACCCCCAGGACAACAGCGAAAGACAGTGAAACTATGGCAATCTATAAAGTATTGAAAACCAACTCTCCCGAGGGAATAGTGGAGGAAACCACCCCAGCTACTCTCAAGGGAATAGTTGATAACACCCCAACTTTCCTGACACATGAGGTAGAAACAAACATCTTGACTTCTCCAAGGAGTATAGTGGAAAAAAACACCCTGACTACCCCCAGAAGAGTGGAAAATAACAGCTCAACCAGTCCCTGGGGGTTAGTGAGAAAGAATAACTTGATGACTCCCCAAAGAACAGTCCTGGAGCACACCCCAGCCATCTCTGAGGGGCAAGTGACAATCAGCACCATGACAGGCAGCAGCCCGGCAGAAACCAAAGGCTCTACTGCTGCCTGGAGTGTTAAGAATCCCCCGCCCAGAACCAGTGCATCAGCCATCAGGACGGCCCCAGCCACTGTCTGGAGGCTGACAAAGAGAGCTCCCACAGCACCCAGCACCTCAGCAACCCTCAAGGTCAGGGCAGATCCCACCACCCAGGTCCGTCACTGTGTGGTTGTGGACCCAGCCCCGGCCATGCCCATCGCCCCCTCCTCGAGCCTGACAACCGCCCTGCTCCCAGAGGTGCCCAGTCCCAGTCCCCCAGAGCTGCCTCCCGGCTGGACTGACCACCACCCCAAGGCGGAGTATCCCCCGGATCTGTTCAGTGTGGAGGAGCGGCGGCAGGGCTGGGTGGTGCTGCACGTCTTCGGCATGATGTACGTGTTTGTGGCATTGGCCATCGTGTGTGACGAGTACTTTGTTCCAGCCCTGGGTGTCATCACAGACAAGCTGCAGATCTCTGAGGATGTGGCGGGTGCCACGTTCATGGCTGCTGGAGGCTCTGCCCCTGAGCTCTTCACCTCCCTCATCGGAGTCTTCATTTCCCACAGCAACGTGGGCATCGGTACCATCGTGGGCTCCGCTGTGTTCAACATCCTCTTTGTCATCGGCACTTGTGCCCTCTTTTCTCGGGAAATCCTCAACCTCACCTGGTGGCCCTTGTTCCGAGATGTCTCCTTCTACATCCTTGACCTGATGATGCTCATCGTCTTCTTCCTGGACAGCCTGATTGCCTGGTGGGAGAGCCTGCTCCTGCTGCTGGCCTATGCCCTCTATGTGTTTGCTATGAAGTGGAACAAGCGGATCGAGCGCTGGGTGAAGGAGCAGCTCAGCAGAAGGCCAGCAGCCAAGGTCATGGCCTTAGGGGACCTCAGCAAGGTAAGGACAGGCTGGCTCAGGCTTCTGTAGCACCTTTGAAGAGAAAGGATGGGGGAAGCAAGGGCCTAAAGAATAGAAGGTACTTGGTCAGACCTCAGGAGATGAATGCTCTGGTTCCCTCACTATTTATTCAACATTTACAGAGTGCCTGCTCTCTACCAGGCATTATGCGGGGGCCTTTGCACGCGTGACCTTGGCTCAACCCCTAATCACCCTATCAACTGGTTATTGTGATCCCCATTAGAAGGAGAGGAAACTGAAGCCTAAAGAAGTTAAACCACTTGGTCAAGGTCACACAGCAAATAGGCAGTGGAACCAGGATGTGAACCAGGATGTTGGTCTGACGGGGTCTTTGGAAATGACATTTGAGTTGAGCTCTGGAGAATGTCCAGGGAGATACCAGGCAGGGAAAAATGATAATCTCTTCCATGTGCATAGTGTTCAGGGTTTATCTAGCACTTTCAGTTTCATTTAGTCCTGTTTGCTCACATTACAGACTTAGAGGGGCTGGGGGCTTGCATGGGGTCTGAGAAGGGGGAGGGTTTTTTGTTTCTGTTTTGTTTTTAAAATATTAGAGAGGATGGGAGTTCCACTCATCCACTAACAAGCCAGCCCAGGGGGCAGAGCCCTCTCTCTGTGCCTACCAGAGACCAGACTCCAGGAGCACCAATTCTGGGGCTTTTTCCCAGCTCAGAAGTTCCTTTCCAAGAACTTCTCTGCCCCCTTGAGGGGCCTTCCTGCTAAAGTCACTGGATGATTCGATAACTTGGGAGATGACTTTAAATTGGGGAAGTGATTCCCCAATTCACTGAAAATTCATTCCAAATTTTTTTGTTCCTTGACACTCTACAGTGAGGGTACCTTAGGGAACACAGGCTCCATTTTTCTCCTGCTCCTAAAGGGTGAGTTTGGATGAGGGTTGCTCATAGTCTGCTGGTTCCAGGTCTTAGAGAAGCTGCTGGTGCAAGCAGAATTTTGCATGCAAAGAGTGGAAGGACTTAGTTACTTAATCCAGAGCAGTTTTGATGAGTGGGCAGGATGGAGACCAAACTCAGCAACATGTCCGCAAGATACACAAGGCAAGGGAGATTAAATACACTAAACTTTAGAATCTTTGTGATAACATGGTGTTCTGGCCAGAGCACAGAACTGAGAGCTAGGAAACCTGGGTTCTAGTCCAGTTCTGCCTCCAATGAATGGTATGACCTTAGACAGGTCCCTTCCCCTTTCCCGGGGAAATGACAGAGTCCAGCTAATCACCAAAAGGTCCTGTCTAACTTTAACATTCTGTGATCACCTCCTCTATCCAAGTGATTTCGGTTCTGGCAGGACCCAGTACAAATGATTGTGTGTCTAATCTGGCAGATGGCCCCGAAAGGAGAATTGTCCTGCCCAGGGTCATATAACCAGCAAGTAGCAGAACTGGAATGGAAACCCTGACTCCTAACTTCCCATTCAGTGCTATTTCCCACCAGACTACTGTTCTACACAGCCGGAGGCTTAAGAAAGAAAGGGAAGCTCAGAGCATTTCATAATTTAGTCTGAGGAAACAGGAGGCTTTCTCCTAATGAAGTTCTCAGGGCAGGCCTTGCTAAGGGGTGGCCGTGAAGTCTGGGGATTCTCCTCTGAAGAAAGCACATGATGCCTTGGTGTTTTCAAAATGCCTCTGACTTGCCTCCCAGTTCTTGATAGTAATTCTGCTTTTATTTAAACTCTATAAACTCTGAACTTTCCATTTCATCAGAGCTAGACCAACAAAGCAAAGCTTGCCAAGCAAATGAAGGATAATCATGATTTCAAAGACAATTTGTAACCTACTTAAGAGACTCTGCAAGGGCTTTAGGAGCGGCTCTTTGCCAGCCAGTAAGCACAGTGCTAATTATAACTCTGTTCTTATCTATTTGTTGAAACAGATCCAGTATTACTTTTAATTGATAGCATTATTTTTTTAAAAGCAGGTTGAATTACTGATACTTGAAAGTAAATATTTAAAATTAAAAACGTACAGTTAGAACTTTCTATCACTAACAAATGCCTTCTAAAAATTAGTCCAAATAACTCAAGAACCACAGCTATTTTAAAATAGTTTTTAAACATATGTGCACTTGGAGTTTCATTTCAGGGTTCTTATAGCCAGGGGGAGGGAACTACTTTAGCTTGTACCTTTATGTCTGTGTTTGGCTGGCCAAGACCTATGATCTGGTTAGAGGGAAATAAATTATCCTGCAATTCACTGACAGACTGAGGGCAAGCCATTCTTGAAGCTATTCTCTGAAAATTCAGTCTTTGATCTAGTTAACCATGCTGCTATTCTTTTTTTTGTGTTAAGTCTATACTCACTCTTGTAAAGTATTTTACCTTCACTCTGACTGTGAAAAAACACACATGCTCCCACACTCACACTTACTGGTTCATGCCTCTCCCTGACTAATGGGTCCCTTCTCTGAGCATCACCTCAGGAAGGCAGGGGTCCAGGGAAACTGGGCTTATTCAGTCAGCCACAGCTCCAGAGTTGGGGAAGTCAGACAGAAGTGGGGCAAGGCGAGACAGAAGAGTGGTTGGGAGGCAAGGAGCAGGGCTGGGAGGTGAAGTCACAGCTACAGCTGCTCAGGAAGTCTAAGCAGAGGAGCAGAGTGGAGGGCAGCATGAGCCAGCTATTTCTTGGAGAGAAACAGGAAAGACAGCTGGGCCTACCCCTTCCTCTGTTGTCAACCTGGGGAGGTGTAGAAGGAGTGGCCACGTCAGGCTCCTCATTGCCACTAAACGGGGAAACAATCTTTGTATCTCCTAAAGGGCTGAACCCCAGTGTCTTGTTCCTAGAATTTCCAGTTTCTTCAGGGAACCCTAACAGTCAATGGACTCCAGTTTGTCAAGATAAAGGAGTAGGGGAGGGAATCCATGCTTGCTTATAGAGAGCCTATTTTGTGTGTGTGTGTGTATATACATATATATGTATATACACATATAATAAATATGTTAAAATATATAAAATATACAAAATTAAAAATAATATATTTATATATGTACAATCTCAACAATTTCTCATAAAATCCTACAGGGAACAGATTATTATCTCCATCTTGCAGATGAGAAAACTGAGGCTCAGAGAGGATAATTAACTTAGCCAAAGTTACACAGCTAGTTAGTAGTCCTTACCGTTGACCATCAGTCATTATATCTGGGTTTTAACCCAGGCTCCACTGCTCACTATCTGTGTTACCCTGGGCTGGGCGAGTCAATGCAATTCAACAAACCGGTATTACTAAGTACTTAAATGAAAAGCAGTATGGGAAATAAAAAGATTATATCCCTTCCAGTAGAAGGGACAAGCATAGAGAAATTAACTGCAATGAAGGGAACCCTGTGCAAAATGCTACAAAGTCACTTTGCTTTTCAAACAGGCCTTAGATTTCTCATCTGTGATGTGAATGGGATGAACCAATGCAGAGGGTGGCATACTTTTCCGTAAAGGGCCAAACAGTAAACATTTTAGGCTTTGTCAGAGACTGTGTCAGAGACTATAGTCTCTGTCACAACTACTCAAGTCTGTCCTTGCAGTGTGAAAGCAGCCACAGACAATAGATAAACCACAGGGAATGGCCACGTGGCATTTTACTGAGAGCAATGTGTTTGCAGGTATTCTCCTAATTGAACAACTTGTAGACATACAATCAGCAGAGAATGATCATTTTCTTACTAAATATTCACCCAACTGATAGCTGTTGAGTTTCTGAGCTGGAAGACCTTTCACTTTACCTTTTATTCTGCCCTAAGTATCTAGAGTCAGGATAAAGGTTTTTTGGGAGTGATTATAATCAGAATTCACTTAAGAGCATTTTCAGAAAAAAGTACAAGACTTAGTGTTGGACATAGACATATAGTGCGTATTTTAGAGTCTCTCTTTTGACATTGTCTGAAAAAAAATTCAAAGCTAAAAATGTTTCAAATAACATTGTCAAATTGACATATATTTAATTGAGAATGCCTTTTATCACTTCAATAAGGAAATGGTAAATGTTTGTATAGTTATCAACAGAGTCTAACTTAGCTCTCTCTGAAACTTTATCCCTGGTTTTGAAGCTCTCAATGTATTTTTTTTGGCCAAAAATGATAAATCTCTGCCCTGCCTTGACCACGAATAGTCACAGAAAGCTGACAGCAGAGTGGAGGCACTAGGCTGGCTAAAAAGCTTTATTGGTATTTGAAGGACAATGAGGCTCTTCTTCACACTTGATCTTAGCCAAAAGGCCAAGAATGGATGAGGCTCTTCTTTATACACAAAAAAGATTCACCAGGAAGGACCAGCCACCTGCAGGAGGTGCGTGATTGGCAAGACAGCCCTGTGGCAAAAAGGGATGCAAAGCAGGACTGAGCCCCCTTTGGAGGCCCCATATCCTCATTCTGCTCCCAAGAGTACCTTAGAATGTGAAACTGTGGGGCAAATTCTGTCACTCTTTCTTAAATACACTAGGGGTTATTTTCTCCCTGGCAGGATTATTATTATTTTTTAAACAGAGTCTTGCTCTGTTGCTCAGGCTGGAGTACAGTGGCGTCATCATAGCTCACTGCAGCCTCAATCTCCTGGGCTCAAGAGATCCTCCTGCCTCAGCCTCCCGAGTAGCTGGAACTGCAGGCACGCACCACCATGCCCAGCTAATTTTTTCTATATATTTTTAGTTGTCCAGCTAATTTCTTTCTAATTTTAATAGAGACGGGGTCTCGCTCTTGCTCAGGCTGGTTTCCACCTCTTGACCTTGAGCGATTCTCCTGTCTCGGCCTTCCAGAGTGCTAGGATTACAGGCGTGAGCCACTGCCCCCAGCCCCTTGCAGGATTTTTCATTAAACCAACCAACAAGACCTCATGCAGACAAATCTGGTACCTGCTTAGGGGCTGGTCCTCCCCTTTGTTGTCAGGGTTGACATTTAACCCAAGGGCTCTTATCAGTGTCTGGTATAGCCAGCTGCCTGCAGTGGAGGCAGGGGGCTCCTCCTGCTTCTGT